TGTTGAAATAAGGACCCTCCACTTCTCTAGAAATCTTATTTTACAGCATGAAGAGGTACAGCACTTCCACGAGAATGTGCCTATTGTTGCCATTATCATTACCTGGATCGTTATTCACCTCATTGTGGAGGTTTTCTTGAGCAAAGACTATATGAGACTTAATCAAAATGAACAGGAAGTTATCATTGTTGTGACTAGTGGATGGGATCACTCTGGAGTTGATCTGGGAAGGGGGTGGCAGCAGGGGTCTCCACCTGCCCACCCCCCATCCCTTTGCATGCCCCTTCAGCTCTGGGGTGCAGGGCTGCCCCATCCCCGCCCCTCGCAGTGCACCGCTCCAGGGGGTGCCCCATGGGCTCCCTGTGTGTGTAGGGGGGTGACCCACTGATCCCTCATCCTGTTCCTGTTGACCCATCGCCCTTTTCCCCATGGAATTTGTTCTCTTTATTGCCTTTGGTTTTGTGGCATTCAGCTGCCTCCCTGAAGGCAAGTTCCTCTCAGTCTGTAGTTTATACCACCAGAGCAGGACACAGGCAAAGCCCCTGGGCTGCTGCACGGCAGGGCTCATCTGATATTTCTGGGGACTTGGGGGAGAAGCTTTGTTGAGGAAAGAAATGGGAGACCTGAGAGAAACAGAAGAGACTTCTCTTCCCAGAAGAAACAGCAGTGTCTCCAGAGAGCTGAGGACCTCAGGGGACGATGCAAAACCCCTGACCTCCCAGATGGCCCAGCAGGGGCTGTGCAGAAGAGCAGGTGGTTCTAGCTCGGGAGGTGAGGACTCCACTGCCAGCTGACCAGGAACAGCCTCTTCCCACCACTGGGACACCCACAGACCCCAAGGGCCCCTCACTGTGGAGATGCTGAGAATGTTCTTGGCTGAAGGAGCCACTGGTGTTTCTTCCAGAAAAGGGAGAAACCCAGAAGGAGCATTTCAGGCACAGGAAGAACGGATCATTTCTCTTCCAGGCTCCTTCCTTTGCTCCCCCAACAGAGTCGTTTCTGGCAGCTCTGTTATCTCGGGGCTGGGAGGTGCTTTTCTGACTCTCTCACTCAGCAAATGGCCAGGTTGGTCTTGACATGCACTTCCAGTATCTCAACCTTATGGCCTTCCTGGGGCAACTGCCATCGGCTCTCGCCTGGCAGCTATGTTTCCCCCCTGCATACAGGGAAATGTAGGTCAAGATCCTTCTTCAGGAGGTCCCAAGTGTCAGTGGCCAGGATGTCATCTTCAGCTCCAAGTGACAACGCCAGAAGGTGCCCCACTGCCATGTGTCCCATCCTCCCCTTCCTATCCGACTGATGAAACTTCTCGACCCAATCCTCCACCGGTCATGCCAATGCCTTTCTTCCTAAGCAAGTTGACAGAATGTCCACCAACCAAAGAATGATGTGGAGACAGAGGCTGGGATGCAGAAAGCTTTAATGACTCTGAAGAGGGAAACGAGTTCACTTGGAGAGGAGGCAGCCAGAGCAGGGAGAGCACCAGCAGCTGCCAAATGTCTGCGCCCATTGGCCATGGTGGAGATCCCAGAAGGGATCCATCAGCACAGAGGGAGAGGGGCCAGTAGATCCTGCAGCTTGGCTTTGGGGGTCTTACAGCCCAGAAGAACAGAAGAGAAGAAAGAGATGGGAAGGAGTAGAAGGCAGGGGAGATAGACTTTGGCCATGTTTTCAGAGAGGCACAGCTGCTCTCCCTTGGAAGGATGCTCAGCCTCCCTGAAATCACTGGCCAGGAGCTCTGTCCTCAGTCCAGCAGGAGCTTCTGGGTTCCTGGGGTCCTTGTGCGGGCTGTCACCAGTGGCTTTAGCAAGGGGGGCACCTTCTGCCACAGTAGCGGCTGGTAATGCAGGAGAGGTCAAAGCCCCCAGAGTTGATGGGCACTCCGTCACAGCTGAGGATGCTGCCAACGGCAGCGGAGGTGGAGGAGCCCACCACGGTGTTCTGTGGGAAGGAGCTGAGGATGGGGCCGGGCAGGGTCACCACCACGGGGGAGGGCTCGATGACGACGGTGGAGTTCTGGCACTGCCTGACACAGGGCTCATTGCAGCTGTTGGCCAGCGGGGTCGGGCCGCAGGGCTGGCAGCAGGGCTCGCAGGGCACACATGGTCTGCAGCAGGACATGTCTTGTGACACGATTTGCACCTGCAAGATAGTTCAGGGAGGATAAAATATATGGGGTTGCGTGAGGAGCAGCTTGTCACTGCAGTATGAGGCTGTGCAGAGATGTATGAGGTATTCTTGACCTCATCACGCCAGAGCCCAGAAAGAGCCAGCAGCTCCTATGTAGCTACTCTCTACCCCGGAGTACAGAAGCCTCCTCAGTACTGCCCCAGCCTCCTTCCAAGCTGAACCTCCCCCCACTCATATCTCCCATGACAAGCAGCCACAAGATCTGGTATGGAACAAAGCCGGTCTCAGCTCACAGGTTCACTGAAGTGAGACCTCCTTTGTGAGAAAGCAGAGAAGGAGAAGGGACCTCAGACTCACCTGGTTCTCAAGGAGAAGGAGGCAAGAGAAGTGGATGAGAGAGCGAGGAGCTCTGCTGGCTTTTATGCCGGACCTTTACTGCCCCAGGCTGACAGAGGCATCCCTTGTAGAGGTGGTTATTATCTGACAAGCTCATCCTGAATGCAAAACATCCCACCTAATGCTATGGGCTGTGTTTTGGCCTCCGGAATA